CTTTACCCCCAGCCCAGGTAACACTCACCTCGTTAACACAGGTAATGGAGCCAATAAGAATGCCGAGGCCACACAGTATTACCTTTAATAATCTCCCACGGCTACAGGATTCTCTCTACGATTCGCAGGTAAGACAATAAAGAAACTATTCCCATCTTACCTGTACACGTGTGAAGGCGTGCCAATTTCCTCCCTGTTACCTGTAGTCGTGGGAACACAGACAACTGGGTCGGTTATATTACGGCAGCACGACGATGGTGAGTGTAATAACATCGAAATTATTGCACAACTAAGGGGGGGTTGGGTGGGTGGGAGGGGGGGGGGTCAACTGAAGATTAGACAACCTAGATTATTTCACCTGAAGTTTAGCCACCCTAATGCTAATCTAATTCTAACCCAAATTAATCTTACCAAAAAGTGTTCTCTTACCTGATCTTACGACCAAAAGATGCAGTTAAGAATCATTGAGAATCCACCCTAAGATAACCGTAACCTCACGAGTCTTACACACACACACACACACACACACACTTACTAGTTAGGAGACATTACACTGAGACTCTACCATAACTAGATACCTTCACTAAGATCAGTTAAGAGACAAAATTACAATGCCTTCCTTGCTCATGACACTTGACACTACCTATGACACTTGTGGTGCCACTTTATTCAGGCACGACTGACCCCGCTTACGACACTTGACACAACTCATAATCTCGAAGCCATTTATCCCTCCACCATGACACTGGATCACATTACGACACCGGATACCGCCCATGACAAGTGACACCGCCCCTCCACCATGACACTGGATCACATTACGACACCCGATACCGCCCATGACAAGTGACACCGCCCCTCCACCATGACACTGGATCACATTACGACACCCGATACCGCCCATGACAAGTGACACCGCCCCTCCACCATGACACTGGATCACATTACGACACCCGATACCGCCCATGACAAGTGACACCGCCCTCCATCATGACACTGATTTAGTTACGACACCCGACACCGTCCATGACCCCCTCTCCTCCAGGCAGCAACACCCAGTCATAAGTCATCCTAGTCACTCACTACTGGAGGTAAACAAGTAACCAAAATACTGTGTGTGTGTGTGTGTGTGTGTGTGTGTGTGTGTGTGTGTGTGTGTGTGTGTGTGTGTGTGTGTGTGTGTGTGTGTGTGTGTGTGTGTTAGCTCGGACATGACAGGTGGGTGGGTCTCTCAACACACACACTTCCTCACTCTCAACATACATACAGACACAATCCTCTCTTTCTCAACTGTGTGTTTGTACTGAGAGAGAGAGAGAGAGAGAGAGAGAGAGAGAGAGAGAGAGAGAGAGACCAGGGGCGTCACACAGGTGAACCAGGGTGAAGGTGAGGCTGACGTCACCTCCAGGTTGAACGAGTAACGTGGGGTGAAGATCCTACACTGGACCTCCTCTTGTTCTTCTTGTTCTTCTTGTTCTTCCTCTTGTTCTTCTTGTTCTTCTTGTTCTTCCTCTTGTTCTTCTTCTTCCTCCTCTTGTTCTTCCTCCTCCTCCTCCTCCCTTACGGACCAGATGATCTACACCCACCACCTCTCACTACACACACACACACACACACACACACACACACAGGAGAGTTCAGAGACCCATTACACTACCAAAAAACTATAACAACTTATACAGGTAATTACAGAGACACACCTGGGCGACCGACTGTATTGTTACATTATACACGTACACTGCGACACGTGTCATGTAATTACCACTACTGCAGTATGAGACACAGACAGACAAGACAGAAACATAGACAGACAGACAAATACAGAGAGAGAGAGAGAGAGAGAGAGAGAGAGAGAGAGAGAGAGAGAGAGAGAAGGCTGTAAACTAATAATACGCCAGAGAATTCCTTCATGTATTATTCAGATGTAATTACTGCAACACAACGCATGAGAGACAGACAGACAGACAGAAAGAAATGCAGACACAGACAGATACAGAAAGATTTGCCGACAGACGTAATGAAAAATACAGACACAGAGATAGACACAAAGAAATAAGACAAAAAGAAAGACAGGCAGACACAGAGAGAAAAGGACAGACATACAGACACAAAGACAAAAAACAGTCACAGACAGACACACAAAAAATACATTCAGACAGATAGCAGACAGACAGACAAACAGACAGACAGACCAAAAGGCAGACACACAAGAGGCCTACTGTTAAACATCACACTCAAGGTCCGGTTAAAATTTCCCACCTGAATGAAACATGATAAAACTATAGCTACCTCGTGTACAACTTTGTGTGTGTGTGTGTGTGTGTGTGTGTGTGTGTGTGTGTGTGTGTGTGTGTGGAGGGGGGGATGCTGTTCTGTGTGTAATAATAATAATAATAATAACAATAATAATAATAATAATAATAATAATAATAATAATAATAACAATAATAATAAAAGGTTTATTAATAGAGTTGCAGCCGGTGGCTGAATATACAAACTTACATGTAATTTAGACATAATGATATGCGTTCAATACATTTACAGGGCTGTACAGTACATAAATCAGGAGTTGTTTATTATTTTAACAATAGATGGGATGGTGCTGCTGTTATATCTATCAGTGCAGGCTCTTATGGGCTGAATTTTGTTGTAGTGGTGGATTGCGCGAGGTGGGCGGGGGACTGCAGGTGGCAGTAGGTGGCGATGACGAGGATGGTGCAGTAGTCCACTGTCAAACTCTGTTAGTGCGTGGTGGTGGTCACTGAGGGATGGCATTTCCAGGGTGGAGAGAGCGTTGTTGTAGTAGCCGGAGTAGCCTGTACAGGGTGCCTTGTAGCGATGAGTAGTCCGGTGAGGTGTTGTCCACTGTAACCCACACAGTGCAGTCATCCACGTACTTCCACCTATGAGGACTGTGTATGTGTGTGTGCTGGGGGGATGCTGTTCTGTGTGTGTTACAATACAGTAATCCCTCCATATAACGGACTCCTCTCTCCATATAATCCGTTAACTGGAGGTTTCACATCTAACGGTCCCTCGATATAATGGACTTTTCTCTCCGTCCCTTAAATAGAGGTTTTATTGTATAGAAGCTTTGCTATATTTGATAGTCATTAAATTTACTGAACTTAAATTCACATCCAGGTATATTCACACGTACCGATAAAAGTCATTATATGTATTTGATCAAATTTAAACACTGAATTTTTATCTATACGTATCTATTACAAGAAAAAACATCCGGAAAATTGCAAAAAAAAAATAGTTATTGTTTCATGACAGTTCAAAAGCTTCACTTCCTTTCGTTATATCTAAGTTAAGATATGTGTCTGAGTGAGTGTTTGGTATGAGGAAGTGGAGTGAGGAACTGGTACCCGGCATTTGTAATTCAGGTAGTTAGTTAATTAACCTACATACATTATATTGAAGTACATAACTGAGGAAGTGTTTGGTATACCTCAGAGTTATACCTTACTATACAAACCTAAGTATATACCTTACACTGATGTATATAGCTATCTGTGTGTGTGTGTGTGTGTGTGTGTGTGTGTGTGTGTTGGGCAGGTAGCGGGTACAGGTGAAAGTGGTGTTGGTTGTATTAAGTTCAGACTGACAGTGGCAGAAGGTCAGCCCCACAGCCCTGGCTCCTGTGACATTTGTGTTGGTCTTTCTGTCTACTGGTGGTGGTGGGGTGAGGGTGTGGTGCGGTCATGAGCCACACCATGCACTTCACTGTTGCTCTTAGTTCCTAATGTGTTGAAAAAGAGAGACAGACAGACAGATAACCAGGTAGATAGAAAGACCTACATATAACTCCATCATAACAAATAACTAGGACTAGACACCAGGTATAAATAGCATAAATAGCTCTATAAACATAAAGATAGATGTATATAATAAACAAAAATAGCTAAGAGTCTAAATATATGTAAGCGTGTCTAACTCTGAATGCTTAAGTGGTATCAAGTGTCCTAACCCACTTACTCTCGTTCACCTCCACTGCGGGAAAAAATATATTAAGTGATTCCCAGAGACCTGATCAACCGTTAAGGGCGAGGTGGATACAGCACACTGGAGACTATTACTATATGCACTTTGGGTCAGTTTTCCCGTCTCCATCTGGGTCCAGGTGCCCTACTCAGTGATTAGCAATGGGGCTCTAAGTGGTGAATGTCAGGTAAGGATGTGAGGGTTGTATCCAGACTATATCTCAACTATAGCCAGTCAGGTATAGCCACAGTCAGGTATAGCCCAGTCAGGTATAGCCCAGTCAGGTATAGCCCAGTCAGATATAGCCCAGTCAGGTATAGCCCAGGCAGTCATCAAAATACCACAGAATAAAAAAATACAAAATTACATAGAAAAAAGAAAAAACTGAAATTACGTCCGAAAAAAATTAAACAAAGAAAATACAAAGAAATTACAAAATAACACGAAACAAAAAAATAATCCTGAACAAAACAAAGAAAGAAAAATCACACCAGAAAAACAATTAAATTAAAAAGTGTATAATCCCCCAAAAATTACAAAATTAAATCACGTCCCCCCAAAAAAAAAATCACACCAAGAATACAAAAACGACACACACACACACACACACACACACAGTAGATTACTAAATACTACTTCTTGCACTGTCACTATGTTGAAATGAACTGTAGTTTGAGCTTTTCCCCATCTAGTTATTATATGTCTTATTTGTGTCACTTATGTTACTTGTATATTATTTGTAATTCGAAACCCATTCCCCAAATATGTAACTGTATATTTTCAGCCTTCTGGCTGCCAAGCTCTTTCAATAAACCGTTAATTATTATTATTATTATTATTATTATTATCATTAGATTATGTCACATGTGTCCAGGGTATTTGGCCGTCACTGTACGCTACTCACGCGTCCTTACCACCGAAAAAAGTTCCAAAATGTACAATTGCAACTACTGAACCGAGATAATGCAATTGCAACACAGAATATATAAATCTAAATAAACTTGATTCACCTCACCACCTCTCACTAACTCTCTACCCCCCTCCACTACTCCCACTACTCCCCACCTCCACCACTCCTCTCCACTACTCCTCCACCACTCTTCCTCCACTACCTTCACCCTCCACTACTCCTCACCTCCACCTCTCACTAACCCTACCTCCCCACCCCTCCCACTACCTCTTCCCTTCCTCACTCCTCCACTACCCTTCCCCCTCACCTCCACCTCACCAACTCTTCACCCTCCCTACCCCCTCCCCCTTACCTCCCACTACTCCTTCCCTCACTCCCTCCCACTGTCTCCCCACTCCTCCACTACTCCTTCCTCACCCTCCACCACTCCTTCCTCACCTCCACTACTCTTCCTCCCTCACCTCCACTACTCCTTCCTCCCTCACCCTCCACTACCTCATCCTCCACTAACCCTCCCTCCTCACCCTCTCCACCACCTCCCTCCCCACCCTCCACTCCTTCCCTCACCCTCCACCACTCCCTCACCCACTACTCCTTCCCCCTCCACTACCCCTTCCCCCTCCACTACTCCTTCCTCACCCCCTCCACTACTCCTACCTCACCTCCACCACTCCTCTCCCTCACCTCCACCACTCCTCACCTCCACCACTCCTCACCTCCACTACTCCTCACCCCCTCCACCACTCCTCCCCTCACCCCCTCCACTACCTCTCCTCCACTACCTCTTCCTCACCCTCCACCACTCCTCCTCAACACCCTCCACTACTCCTTCCCTCACCTCCACTATCCTCCCCCTTCCCTCCTCAGGCTTTATTGTCTTCGTGTGAGAGAGAGAGAGAGAGAGAGAGAGAGAGAGAGAGAGGATGTGTTATATGAGTAATATCCTTACAGAACACGTTCGCTATTAACACCAAATCCATCGCTCAAGTGGCACTTGATATGCACCCTCACCCTCCCATCACCCTCTCACCCCTCTCCCCATCACCCCTCACCTCTCCCATCACCCTCAATCTCTCCCATCACCCCTCTCACCCCTCTCCCATCACCCCTCACCCCCTCTCCCATCACCCTCTCACCCCTCTCCCATCACCCTCTCACCCCTCCCCCCCTCCATCAGACACACTAGACATACAGACGAACAAACATTCAGACACAGAGACAGAAAGACAGGTTCGGTAGGCCTATGCAGAAAGACAGGTTCGGTAGGCCTATGCAGAAAGACAGATAAACAAACATACAGAAATGTACGGTAGGCAAACTGACAGAAATAGACAGACAGACAGGTATGGTGTGCAAAGACTGACACAGACAGACAGACAGGTATGGTGTGCAAAGACTGACACAGACAGACAGACAGACAGGTATGGTGTGCAAAGACTGACACAGACAGACAGGTATGGTGTGCAAAGACTGACACAGAGACAGACAGACAGGTATGGTGTGCAAAGACTGACACAGACAGACAGACAGACAGGTATGGTGTGCAAAGACTGACACAGACAGACAGGTATGGTGTGCAAAGACTGACACAGAGACAGACAGACACACAGGTGTGGTGTACAGAAAGAATGAGACAGACTCGTAGCTCCTGCCCTAAATCCCTTCATATTCATGGTCAATACAATATCCCTTTCTTCGTCCCTAAAACCACTGGGGTCTACGAGGACTGTGACCCATGTGATTTGGGGCCTAAGAGGACTGGGGCCTAAGAGGACTGGGGCCTAAGAGAACTGGGGCCTAAGAGGACTGGGGGCCTAAGAGAATTGGGACCTAAGAGAAATGGGGCCTAAGAGGACTGGGGCCTAAGAGGACTGGGGCCTAAGAGGACTGGGAGTCTCAGTGTGGCTGGTGGAAGGAGATGAATAATTAATTAATGCGATGAGTGAACACAGCTGCCCACGATGACGTAAACTTCACAGAACGGGGCGTGGGTGACGGATAGCGTGGGTGACGTATGGCGTGGGTGAAGTATGGCGTGGGTGACGGATAGTGTGGGTGACGTATGGCGTGGGTGACGGATGGCGCGGGTTCCGTAGGGCGCGCGTGTATGTGTGAGGAACATTAGGGCGTGTGAAAGGCGTGGCAAGGAGGAATTTGACCTAGGTAACGAAAGGCGCGGGTGACGTGGTTGGTGTGTGTCCAGGAAACGTTGGAGCGTGGGCAAGGCGTGGCAAAGAGACGCTTGGCGGGTGTGGGGAAAGGTGGTGGGTTCAGCTTGTGTTTACTCTGGATTTTCTGGCCCCTCGCCCACTACTGTACTTCTCTCACTCACCCCTCACTCTCACTCACCCCTCACTCTCACTCCCTCCCTCTCTCACTCCTCTCTCACTCTTCCTCTCCTCACCCCTCTCCACTCCCCCTCCCTCCTCACCCCTCACTCTCACTCACCCCTCACTCTCCACTCACCTCCTCTCACTCTCACTCACCCCTCCTCTCCTCACCCTCACTCTCCTCCACCTCACTCACCCTCCTCACCCCTCACTCTCACTCACCCTCACCCCTCTCTCTCCTCTCACTCGCCCCACTCTCTCTCCACCTCACCTCACTCACCACCCTCCTCACTTACCTCCTCCCCCCTCTCCTCTCACCCTCACCTCACTCACCCCTCACCCTCACCTCCTCCCCTCACTCCTCGCTCCTCTACTCCTCTCTCACTCACCCCTCACTCTCACTCACCCCTCACTCTCACTTACCTCCTCCCTCCCTCACGCCACACATTCTTTCAGCTAGACTCCAACACAATCAATTAATCTATCAGGATATTGTTACCTCACACTATTATTTCAAATCAATTTATTTAACAAAGTTCCCATCTGTATTGATCAGCTTAACACCCGCCTCACTTACCTAACTGATAGAGACTGGCAATATGGGGGAGATTTAGTAATTTACCTACATGATATATATATATATATATAGTTAACGTCTCAAAATACCGTAATCTATTTTTCATTAATAAAAAAAAATCTTATAAAAACAGTAATATATTTTTTTTAATTATACGAACAAGAATTTTATTGAATGATATGATAAATTTTGGTATGTATTTGGATCACGTGATTAAACACCCTAACACTATAGCTACCTGGAAGAGGGTTAGGTTAGGTTAGGTTAGGTTAGGTTAGGTTAGGTTATATAAGCTGGGGTGCCTAGACTCCAACACAATCAATTAATCTATCAGGATATTGTTACCTCACACTATTATTTCAAATCAATTTATTTAACAAAGTTCCCATCTGTATTGATCAGCTTAACACCCGCCTCACTTACCTAACTGATAGAGACTGGCAATATGGGGGAGATTTAGTAATTTACCTACATGATATATATATATATATATAGTTAACGTCTCAAAATACCGTAATCTATTTTTCATTAATAAAAAAAAATCTTATAAAAACAGTAATATATTTTTTTTAATTATACGAACAAGAATTTTATTGAATGATATGATAAATTTTGGTATGTATTTGGATCACGTGATTAAACACCCTAACACTATAGCTACCTGGAAGAGGGTTAGGTTAGGTTAGGTTAGGTTAGGTTAGGTTAGGTTATATAAGCTGGGGTGCCTAATCTCACGCCGTATGGTAATCCAAGTATTTTTTTTTACCTATTCGTTACAATAAAATACGATAGCTTTAAAAAACAAGAAATAAAACGGCACAATGAAAGACGGTAAAATGATAGACGGCCGCTACAACGATAGACGGTACAAGAAATAAGACAGTACAATGTTAGACGGCCGCTACAACGATAGACAGTACAAGAAATAAGACAGTATAATGTTAGACGGCCGCTACAACGATAGACGGTACAACAGCGGACGGTGGCGGCAAGTTCACCCGGTCCGTCCAACCACCACCACCACCACCCACCGGCCGGTCCGCTTGGGGGGGTAGGGGGAGGAGGGTGCGGCGATACGGAGCCTAACTTTTATCTAATCTCTATAACTGGTTCCCTCACTCCCTGGTAACCTTCCATATTTACCAAACTCTCATAAAACTGATGTATTCTATCCTCCACCGGGCGAATATAATGCTATACAGTTTACCTCACCGTAATTTCAAACCCAACCGAAAAAAAAACAGGTTTACGCGTCGACGTTAAGTAGAGTAATACCAAACTAGACCTTGCCTAACCTAACCTAAACTGACCTGACCTAAACTAACCTAAACTGACCTGACCTAACCTAAACTGACCTGACCTAAACTAACCTAACTTAACCTAAACTGACCTGACCTGACCTAAACTAACCTAAACTGACCTGACCTAACCTAAACTGACCTGACCTAAACTAATCTATCTCAACCTAAACTGACCTGACCTAACCTAAACTGACCTAACCGAAACTGACCTGACCTGACCTAACCTAATGTAATGGCAGTATTGTGCGAGGTAACGAGTGGAGTGGTGGTTTAAGCTTCACTGTACACCTAGGCCTACGGGGGTACAAAAAAAATCGTGATCTGAACGCGAATGACCTGTGATGGTGATAGTGGTGACCTTTAATGACCTGTTGAGTCCAATTAACCTGTGCTGTGGAGGCATTTGACCTTAAGTGACCTGTGGTGGTGAACAAAACTTTGACCTGTTGGTGAACTCTGACCTTACATGACATGTGTTAACGAATTTAACTGACCTTACATGACCTGTGTTGACGAACTTAACCCTGATCTCACATGACCTTTATGTGTGGTAGTGGTGACCTCTGACCTTACATGACCTGTGTGGTGGTGATGACCTCTGACCTTACATGACCTGCGTGGTGGTGACCCCTGTCATTAAATAACCAAGACCAGTGCCTGTGAGATCTCTTGAATGCTGTACAGTGAAGCTAATAACTGACACCAGCTTCTCCAGTGTGTTTTAAAAGGTCAATAATAACAGTAAAAGGTCAACACTAATAATAATAAACTGAATATCCATAATAATTAGCTATACAAATCAATAAAAATAAGTTTAAGGTCAATAATAATAATAACAATAATAAGCTAAAGGTCAATAATAATTAACAAAAGGTCAATAATAAAGTCATCCACACCAGTTCATGTAGTACAGTATGTGTGTTATGCTGAACCACAAGTGTTGATCGCGGCCATTTTACACACACTAGGCTACTGGATTTAATTAAAGTACAGCATTTCCTTTCAGTATCAGATATGATATTACCAACTGTTTATCATAATGCATTAGTTATATTTTGGTTCATTTTTTATAAATATTATCATTACGGTATTATTATTATTATTGCCGGTATCATTAGTATTAGTAGTAGTATTGACGGTATAATTGTTACCATCTCCCCTCTCCCCTTCACCACAAACCTCCGTATCCATACTACCCATCCTTACTCTCCCTCTCCCTCCCTCCCTCACCGCCTCCCTGCACGGAATATACAAAAGGGGCGTGGTGGTAATCTAGAAGTAGGGGGGTGGTAGTCTAATGGTGAGGATGGTGGTGGTAGTTTAATGGATCTGGTAACCTGGTGGTGGTTCAATAAAGGTTGTAATAGTGGTGATAACAGTAATAGTCACGAGCGCCACTAAAACACCCACGTCATCACATCCGTCTCTTGTTTAAACTGGTCACCATAGTAACCCCTCCGAACACAACATCTCTCTCTCTCTCTCTCTCTCTCTCTCTCTCTCTCTCTCTGACATTACTTAACTAGTTCCCTGTTGAGTTAGTTTTCTCCTCGTCGACCTTCACCGCTTCCCTCTGATCTATACCGTACACACCCGACTCTCACCCGAACAATTGTTATTTAACGATGAAATGTAGGTACAACCAATCGAATCGTGTGGGGTTTTTTATGGCAGTTATCTTATTCTTTGTTTTCTCCTAATTCTTCTTCGATTTAGTTATCTCTCCTCTTGTTATTCCTATCTCTCATATCTTTCTTCACATCTCTATCTTATTCTCCTTGGCCATTGTTATTTGCCTTATGCTTCTCTTCTTTGTTATTTATAATTCTCACGTAGTTTCTCCATCGCAGCTTCCTCTATTTCGTCTACCATTCGCTAGCTTCTTCTTTTCTTTCCTTACTGCATCCTCTTCTTCACTCCTTGTCTAACCCAACCCTCTACCGACTCTCTTAGCGTCTTGTTTACATCCTTCAAGTGCTAAAACTGCATCATTCATTTCAGTTGTCTAGGAAAAACAAGCGAGAGTTTGGTGGATTTTACATAACCATCAATAAATCTCTATAAACAACACACACACACATAATGACACTAATATGACATTATCCACACACACACACACAGGGAATTGCAGTGGTGAAGACAGTTTACCCGACGCTGGCTGACAGAGTGAAGACATAAAGCCTATTCATCAGTGACAAGCCCATACTCCCCCGCCCCGCCGCCACCAACACAACTCTATTTTCTCCCCATCTCTCTTTTACACATTGACTAAATTCACTCGCTCACTAAACGTTCATTCAGATGGTTGGAGATATATGTGTTTTATCCATGTGGTAATGAACATCATCCTCTCGGTGGTGTGCCAAAAATATTAATACTGTACCATTTTTACATATTGCAATGAACAGTATTCCCCCGTGACTAAACGTGCACAAAATTGCTGAATGGGCGATACGAATTTTCATCATATTGTAATGAACATACTTCCATGCATAATATTAACTTTTACACAAATAAAAAAGTATCAAAATGAAATGGAATATGCAAACTGAGTACTTCACTACCGAGCTTCGTGTTTTAAATACCGTAGTTACGAGGCTGCCATATGGCGTCGTTCTAAACTACTGCATTTGTTCCCACGAGGCTCCGGGGTGCAATATACTATAAGTACAGCATTTTTATCCACCCTCGGCTATTTTTCACATTTCCTGGCTCTGTTAGTCAGCTCTATATGTGCCGTTCTTGACCTAACTGATGGATGTTTCAGTACGTGAGGGGTTTATTGCGAAGTGCGGCTTAATTTCTGTAGGCAGGGCCCGCTCGCTTCCTGTAGCTGGTGTCACCTTATGTAAAAGAGAGAGAGTATCGCACGAGGCAATCCACTCCTTATGACCTGGGTGTGGGTTGTGGATCACTCGCCCGCTCATGTCGGGGATCAACTGGCCTATACCCAACTTTGGCCAGAAGCAGTACAAGGTGAGCCGGGCCCTGGGGGTGGGAGTATTTCTTTAACATACACAACACCATGTAGCTAGCTGATACAGACGTACTTCACTCACACCCTTTACAAAAGTAGGAGCTCAAGAGGATAAGAGATGTTATTGTTTTAGTGGGTGTTGCAACAACCAAGGTCTTCAAGTACCGTTACCTGATTCTTGCTTTTTACACTCAACAACAACTTATATTTGTGTAGTGTTTGACAAGTTAAGAAGAAAACAATTCAAAACATTCCTAATACACTTTCAAAATATAAATTAACCTAATCATTTAATGAGCGTCATGTTACCACAGTAAAGCCATCATGAGCTGGAATGATTTTTAAGGTAAATATTTTAAGACTATATAACACTCGACACCAATCTCGTTAACATGGAAATTATTCTTTCACTTTGTGTTATTACACCAACGACACAAGGAAGTAGGGGTGTATTAGTAATTGTCGGGGTAAGATGCAGTTCCTGGTCCCAACATTAATGACGACACAAAACGAACAAACCTAACCTAACCTAACCAAACCCGGCTACCTAACCTAACCTGACCTAACCTAACCAAACCTAACCCGGCTACCTAACCTAAACTACCTAACCTAAACTACCATAACCTAACTTACATTATTGTTAGGTTAAATTCCCTTGTCATTAATGTCTTCACCAACTACATCTTCATATTTTCTTAACGATACACACAAACGTAAAATGCTGCTCCTTTTACAAGTTTCTTCCTGGGCCGTTAAGAGTGCCCCCCCCCCAACCAGCTATTCCCAGACATTAAATAAGCTTTAGAAAATCCACACTAAGATAATGTGCTCGTATTGTAAGCTTCCCCAGCCCTTATCATGCGATTTAATCTCAACTCTTAACTTATTTGATAGTTTTACGACATTCTTATCTGGCGTAGATTCATATACAATAAAATAATATCCAAAGTATAAACTATCATCAGCCTGTATTAGATTCTACGAAAAAAAGGTAGAAAGTTACTGAAATTACAAGCAGTCCTCGACTCTAACTCCAGCCTACAAAAAGTAATATTGGTAGACTGATGTTGCAATCACGAGTTGTCTCCAGCCACCAATAATTAATTAATACAATGGTACCAGTCAAATTCAAAATGACACTCCAACAAATTACCCAATTTATATATATATATATTTATATTGTTGATCATTAAGAGTATTAACTAGCCTAATATTTACGCTTAAAGATCGTAATTGTTAAAGCGTAGTAATACATCGTAACTTCAACAAAAATAAACCCTTACGAAGAAGACTCTACCGCGGATAAGTCACGCCACCCTGAAACACTGCTCTCTGTACAGGCAACCAACAAACCTTCCTGAAACTATGCCGAATAATAATAATAAATACAACACTAGGCTACTCGTGTAATCATAAAACCCATCCACATTTCTTGCTGCCTAAGTAGACTTTACGAGATCCATGAATAGTGGCTCTTCCTCATGCAACCCACATTCCTTACCAACACTGGGCCAGGCGTACAGTCTGCTTTATATACCACTCAATTGGACTCTACAGGACCCATATATACGGCACCTGAAGAATAAACCCCCCTCATTTTCAAGCACTTATTAAATCTAGGTTACATCTCCAATATTCACACACACAAATAAAAGTACAATGTTAATCGTTGTAAAATATGTCAAAATCTCATCACTACCACATATGGCTGTACACCGCTGCCACTATTCAAGCAACCTTAATAAAATTTGGCAGAATCTACATGAAATATGACACTCGTAGAACACTTGTATACGAGGTCCTCCGGAAATACGAGAATTGGATCAACGGGAGTTTTAATTAATCTTAATATTCGTGTTGTATTCTTCGTTCTAAGGAGACGTTTGTTGCCTGTGTATGCATTTGAAGTTGTTGTTTTCATTGTGGCAATAGAGAAACAATAAATATTAAACTTCACCCTGAATATATACCATAATAAACATGAATACTGAGGTTAACAGTAAATGAAATTCATGTGGTAGTTCATTTTCTTATTTCAGGAAGACCACTCACTATCAACGCTATACAAGACAGATAGATAATTATTCAGTAACATTATCATATAAGTCTACAGTGAGTCAACATGTGTTCAACCACTGATAAACAGCATGGCGACTCGACCACGGATATACCAATGATAGGTTATTATCTAGCCTCACTACAACACAACACACGCTACAACATCCTCACAAACGTAGGACTATTTGTTTTTCGGTGCCATAATTTACGTGAAACATGTAAGAGGGGACCCAACCATAACACCACCTCCTTCAACACATTACCCGCCCTCTGTTGCCTTGGTAACAGTACAGCGTAACACAGTACAGTGGTCCACCAGCTGCACACTGCTGAGATACTACACTAATTCATCATCCCAATAACAGACAAGCCCTATATAACGTGGTGGATCTTGAGGGGGTGATAATAATGTATAATTTACCTCTTCATAATGTCCAGGAGAGGAGGGCGAACGTCCACACCGGTTCTTTATTCCGTCTTATCAATAGAGAATTTCTAGGGCAGCTTTAACTCCTACAGTACACAGAATCACAGTAAAAGGCAATAATTATACCACGTGGAGTAATTTTCAAACACGGCTTGGCGTTATTCCCGTCAGCGGAGGTTCAAGCTGTGGAGATATATTAACAAAAGCTAACTAGTTGAGCTGAAGCAACAAGGGATTTGTTCAAGTACTTTTTTCTATGGTATCTAAAATTATGTTAACTAGTGTAGTCGTTACTTACAGGCCAGACACTTAAGTTAGGAAATACATCCAACTGAGAGACGAGAGAATAAACCATTCACATATACCGCACAATGGGAGCGCGACTCACACCGACTCTCCCTCACAACAGCTGAGCGACAACTGGCCCCAAGCCCTGCTGCCAACAACAACAGTTCCAATAATATACATTGGTTACAAGGACTTAAACCCATTTGGGCAAGCTAAGTTTAGAATTTTAAATGTAATAGTATTTATTAGCTGCGTCGTTTTTATTAAAATTATTACTCATTGTTTTAGACGAAGGAATATTGATATTTTTTTATAAGACTTTGTTGACTTTTGATTGTGATTAAGTATTTTGTTTATTTTAAAAGTTTCGTAATATGATAATTAATAAAACTTTTACAAATGTTTACTTTTATATATTAATGTAACGGTTTAAGGCTTATGAGCTGCAAATTAATGGTTTTTGTTTGTATAAATTGAGTGTATGAAAGTGGGAATGGCATCTTTTTCTTATAAAGTTGCCAGTTAGTTGCCTGAACAGAGGCGCCACAGCTGCACGAGTTACGAGTCGCCTTTCATTTTCCTTTACGGAGGCTTCAATGGCACACTCATTTTTATTGCGCCTTTGAATCACTGAAACACTCCTAAATTTACTGCACCATTATATAACAGGATCTATTCCGCCTTTACATAATTAGTTATAGACAACCTTTATTAATTTGTATTGCACTAGTTGGAACACGTTAGGAACATTATATTAAAAAATTTCAATAACGTAATGAAACGATTATTAATATTCTTTCGATAATAATAGAACAAATAAAAGCCGTTGAAAGAGTTAGTAAATTTTGCTCTATGTGCACAAAAATATGAAAATAAACAATACGGCCGCCACATTGGAATTTAAATAACGTCATTTAAAATATAATGGTAAATGGATGCAGCTCCCTGACAAATATTGACTCATATTTTGCTGCTGTCTGTATGCTGAACCTTTTACGGTAATCTGAGAGTTGGTATAATAATAAAGACCACAACCTGTCTATATATGTCTAGTTGTTTATATTTGTGTTATATAAATTATGTTTATATCAATTTTATATATTTTTAACATGAACTCTTTAATCACGTGAAGAATAAACACCCCAACACTTCATTCATTACCATATCGTGGGTAGAACATCTCATATCGTGGGTAGAACATCTCATATCGTGGGTAGAACATCTCTTATCGTGGGTAGAACATCTCATATCGTGGGTAGAACATCTCTTATCGTGGGTAGAACTTCTCATATCGTGGGTAGAACATCTCTTATCGTGGGTAGAACTTCTTATATCGTGGGTAGAACTTCTTATATCGTGGGTAGAACATCTCATATCGTGGGTAGAACATCTCATATCGTGGGTAGAACATCTCATATCATTAGCTCTCATATCGTGGGTGGGAACATCTCATATCGTGGGTAGAACATCCCATATCGTGAGTAGAACTTATATCGTGGGTGGGAACTTCTCATATCGTGGGTAGAACATCTCTTATCGTGGGTAAAACATCTATCATGGGTAGAACATCGATATCATGGGTAGAACTTCTTATATCGTGGGTAGAACATCTCTTATCATGGGTAGAACATCGCATATCGTGGGTAGAACATCTCTTATCGTGGGTAGAACATCTCTTATCATGGGTAGAACATCTCTTATCGTGGGTAGAACATATCGTGGGTAGAACATCTCTTATCGGGTAGAACATCTCATATTGTGTAGAATGTCATTGGGAGTATGGATCGTGGTCATCTCTTATCATGGGTAGAACATCGCATATCGTGGGTAGAACATCTCTTATCGTGGGTAGAACATCTCTTATCATGGGTAGAACATCTCTTATCGTGGGTAGAACATCTCTTATCGTGGGTAGAACATCTCTTATCATGGGTAGAACATCTCATATTGTGAGTAGAACTTCTTATATCGTCATTGGTCTTCACCGAGTTCTCTACAAGTATCCTTCAACACTGGATATAGATGGACCACCAATACTTATTGGAGGGAGGATGGCAGGAAGTGAATGAGGGGAGGTAGGAGGGGGAGGGGAATGGGTGAGGAATGGAGGGAGTTAGGGAGTAAATGAGGAAGGAAGGAGGGAGGAGAATGGGTGAGGAATGGAGGGAGTTAGGGAGTAAATGAGGAAGGAAGGAGGGAGGGGAATGGGTGAGGAATGGAGGGAGTTAGGGAGTAAATGAGGAAGGAAGGAGGGTGAGGAAGGGGGAGAGTAAAGAGTGAAGGGGGAGGTAAAGATTGAATGAAGGAGGGAAGGAGAGAGAGGGAGGGGAGGAATGGGTGAGGGAATGAGGTAAGTAAAGGAGGAGGCAGGGAGGTATCCATGTACTAACTGGCCTCCTCCACTACCTGGTCACGCGTCGTGGTATGTGAGGTCAACGCTTCGGCTCCAACCACAGGACAACTTTTCGCGCACACTAGCGATTTCTATGGCAGTTCTGACGTCTTTTCCATTGTATATGAAACAATTTCTTTGCAGTTTTATCAATATTGTTTACTTTTATCATATTTTAACTATAACTTAAATCTATACTCTGAATAACTTACTCTAACCTAGCCTAACCTATTTTTAGAATTCCTCATGCAAATTTTCAAGAGTCGTGCATCAAATCTTCCTGCTATTCATTTATGTAATAACAATTTAACTGGTTCACGTTAGCTACGAAGCAAAGATGGTTTACCAGAATGTTGTTAACGTAGTATTGAATCTATCGTAAATATAAGTTTTCCCTCATCACCAGTTATAAAGGAAGATCTCGTCTGTGAAGCTTTGACAATAAGTGTAGTGTTGACGGCAGCGGAACGGGTCAAGTGTTCTGGTAACTCAGTTGTCTCCAAGTCCCACAATAACGCTAAACCCACGATCAATATCTGAATCCGGATTACACATTTCAGGTAGTAATTTGCTTCCAGATTTACTCGTGATTTTAAAATGGATCTGAAATATTTATACACAGGAGGTATAATATGGGTCATTTTATTCCTTACTGTACTTGTGTTGAAGCATCAGTTACCACAGGACCTTCACTCACATCGTCAGTTGATGGACAGTAAACACACTAATAATAATAATAATAATAATAAATCGAGTTAGATAAAAATAGTTAGGTGAACTGTTAAAGGATATTAGACTTTTCTAAATAAACTAGGTTAAGTTGGGCTAGGTAATGACTAGTTAGGTTGACACTTCATCATATAATGCAGAAGTGAGGAGAGAGTAACGCGCTCAGTAAAGGCTGCCAGTGTTGTTATCAGAGACAGGGTGCAGCAAGAACCAAAGAAAAGAGAATGACAGGTAAAGAATGTTTGGTTAAGGTCAAGAATGATAACACTGTTTTATTTTTGTGTTTTCCCACTTTTCTCATTGTCACACACATTGATTCTCGTCAACACTTACCTACAGGTGTTAGTTAAGTCACTATTTTTATAAACATTTTTTTCAAATTTATCTCTTTTGAAATGCTGTTGATAAGCTCTTGTTACAGTTGAATAATAAATTTTGTTTTTTGTTGGTCATACTCCAGCAAATTCTTGTAGGTCACACTCCACTAAATACCAAGAAAACGCACAGGTTACCATCAGTCTAGAGTGGCCTTGAATGTGTTCTACTGCTGGTGCATCAACCGCGTTACTCACTAAACAAACATTCAGCAGATAATATCCTTTTTTTAGTTCTTCATTCGAAAATCGTCACTTAAAATCAAATTGGTCAGTTTTCATATAATTAGAATATACATACTAACAATATCAAGCGTTGAAATAAACAAAGCGGCAGTCAAAGAAAGCCAGTGAAGGTTCATTTTCACTTATAGTTGTAGAGTACGCTTACAGAGAGATGTATCTGTATATTTAATGAATAACACACTCTTTATTTCTAAGAGAGCATCATATATTGGGAGGAAACTCTGGCTATTCAAGCCTGGCTTCATTGGGAATAAACATACGAGGGTCATTCAATAAGCGACGAAGTAACGAGACAAAGGAATATAACTGCAGAAGTAATGATTTATTATTAATGATCACATGCCTATTGTTCCACATAATCTCCCTCTACAGCTATGCACTTGTCACATCTTTTTACGAGTTTTCTTATTCCTGTGGCGAAAGACTCTTTCGTCTGACACTAACCAATTTCGGATTTTTTTCTTCACCTCTTCTTTATTCTAAAAATGCTTTCCAGGTTGTGTTCTGTACAGTACCAACACTGGCATTCAAATCTGTCCCAATTTGTTCAACTGTAATGCGTCGGTTTCCCTCAAATTTTCCGATCAATGTTCTGTTGGAATGTGGGTATTGAAACTTCGACAGGTCGTCCGGCACGGTCTTCTTCCACAATACTTGCTCGACCATTCTTTAATTCAGTTGTTCAACCCACTTGTAAATTCGCGCTCGACTGTTGCAGTTGATTCCGCATTGAAGTGAAATTCTGTGATAAAAACAATAAATAACATCGTTGTTCTTCCAAAGTACAAAATTCAAGCGGAACGCTCATCGTTAATGCAACATTTCCTCGAGCTTATCGAATAAACTGAGTAAACTAACAGATGAAGATGTAGCTTATGTATGTCTAAGCATGTCCTCGTAACATGATCGCTGCGCTTGCCCCTCCCCTTTGTGGTCTACATCAAAAAGTCTCGTTACATTTAACAATAGTACATAGATTGGTTTACCCTTAAACAATCTCGTTTTCTCTGAATCATCCAGATATTCCGCATGTTCCAAGGATGTTTGTAAACTTAAATTAAACGTAAACAAGATTATAACTATAACATATAAGCATGTAGTCATTATATATATTATAGCGGTGAAATATATTTATGTTAACCGCGTGATATTTGTAATTCATTGAGTTTTATAATTATTTTTAAAAGACTCTCCGGGAAGATTTTAGTGTACGCCGCTGTGTTCCCTTCCCTTACTCTCTCATTCGTGATAAGTCCTCTACGTAAGTAATGTCCGAGTTTATCCTGAAATATCTAGCGTCATCTGTAGTGTAGGCTCACTCTTACATTGATATTATTTGGCCAGGTATGCACAGTGTATGTCCTATTGGTTAAGAACATTAATATTGCTTTTATTTGGTGGATAATTAATGAAATTAGAAATATTGTGCATGTGGTCTAGGTGAAGCTGTGCGGCGGACACCATTGTTGTTGTTATGTCTATTTAACGTTTAATAAAGTGCTAGATACATTTTGAAGTAGACGTAACATTTGTATATATTCTATGTGTTTTTCTCGCATGCTATTGTTTTAGACGTTAATTTTGTTTATGGATTATCGGTGCAGACTTATGCTTGACTAGTGATTAAGATTAAATAGTAGACATTATAGCTAATAGTCCATTAACTATTGTGCAATAATGTTAAACCCTGTCACACTTGAGTGCTGTCTTAGATCAGTGGGACAGTTCTATGAAGCGCACAGGGAGAGTAAGTGGAGGTGGGCTTCGTGTTGGTGTACTGCTGCTGGTGCATCAACCCCGTTACTCACCAACAAGACAGGAGTCAATACTGGTGGCTCTGGGGCTGTAACCTAACATACCTGTGATCTTGTAACAATGACAATTAAAATGGTCTTTAAATGGAGATAAATTGGGCTGTTTGATGTATGGAGTCTGGGGCCCCTGGTGAGGTAAAAAGATCTTCAATTTGTGCTAAGGCCGGACCTACCTCGTCAAGTATTACCAATTCAACCTTGAGCTAGTTAGGCAGTTTTCATAAATAACTGGTTTTAGATTCAGGTGGTAATGGTGTTTGCATTTTATAGATTTTTTGGGTGGTTTTGAACTAAAACTTTCTTTTCAAAACCAACATGCAGTACTTAAATAAGATGCCAAATTAAGATGAAACCATTGACTAACAATTTTATACAGCTGCATGTATTGAACTAATCTAGTATCATTTATTGAGTGCAGTGACACTTTGGTTTTGAAAGGGGCCAAGTTATTTTTTCATGGAGTAAATGTGAATGCAGTTGGGCCAACCAAAAGAACAGTACTGATTAATTTCAGTGTTTAAGTCGTGTTGGCTAGCAGACATGATACCTACCTGACCATACTAGTGTACAATGGTGTGTTAGTGGGGAAGGCTAAGAAGTGCAAAAGTTTACTCATTCTCACTCACGGTAGCTGTTTTTAATAGAAATTCACCAGGACACTGATCTTAACAATTACAAGAGTTAGTGGCAAGACAACTAATCTTAATACAGTATATTGGTAGAAATTAACAACTTGTATGTTGAACTCTGCTAATCAAAGAAAATACTGCCTGTCTGTCTCGGGTAAGGATGAAAGTGACCAAAAGCAAAGTGTCCCAAGATTTGGTAATTGTGTAATTTTCGTTCCCATATTTTGTCTATTTGTCTTACCTTATACTGGACAAGAAAAGTTAACAAAGTTGCATTGTAATTATTACTTCTGGTGCCTCCAGTGGTAACTTTGTTTTGATGAAGGCTGTTTGGCTCCAACCCCATCTCAAAAACTCAAGTCAGAATTTTATGCTGGTGGCACAGTTGGTCATTAACTGTAAGACATTTAGCTGAGAGATACGGGCTCAAAACGAAACTACACCACCACCAAAGATTTTGAAGTTTAATTACTATTAGTACAATGCAATAACACATGGTATTTTACACAGCCTTACCATACATCGAGACACCTGGATTGCAAACCCATCTTGGCCTGTTTACTCGTGGTGGAGTCTTTGGTCGACCAATCTGAACCAACAGTGATTTTGAAGGGTGGCGTTGTAGGCTGAATCACAGAGCAAAGTAAGGTAATCTGCCATTCCATTTAATAATGTTGCTTCTATGTGGTGAGGCCAAGCTGATGCCAACCAAGATAAAGGTGGTCTTGTAAGGGAAGCTGGAGAGATACAGAATCCCCCAAAAGGCTTACACAATCCAGGTGTGTCTCATGAAGTTGTGGTACCTAGAGATATAGTGTTAAGGAAGGTGTTAACCATCAACTTAAGGCTGTAGAATCATTAGCATTCTTAGGCTATGTAAAATTACCATGATTTATTACATATATAGTATAATATAATATGGATTATTTTTGATGAAAGGCTTAAAAATCTTAGCCAATTCACCTTTCCCCTTTTTGGCCGTTTGGGAAGTTTTACCTATGTACTGTACAATATAAGTTAAGAAATTTTTATTTTGCAGAATGGCAGACTCCGGATCTGGCCGTGGAGGCTTTAGAGGTGGCTTTGGTACCCGTGGGAGAGGACGTGGTCGAGGCCGTGGACGCGGACGTGGCCGTGGTCGTGGCAAGGAGAACGAGAAGGAATGGGTACCCATCACTAAGCTTGGCCGTCTTGTAAAGGATGGAAAGATCAGAAGTTTGGAGGAAATCTATCTTTTCTCCCTACCTATTAAGGTAAGGAAGACATGTCAGAAGTGAACAGTACTGTAATTGTTTTTGTCAAGGACTGCATTGATAGCCCTTAACTTTAGTCAGGATCCTGAACATTATGTTTCAAATGGTTCATTGGAATTGAAACTTTCAGGTTAAACATTACCTATTAAATTGTACATTTTGTAATATTGCAACTTGGCACCTGTCACACTTGAGTACTGTCCTTGATCAGTGGGACAGTTCTATGAAGCAATCAGGAAGAGTAAGGGTGGGCTTCGTGCTGGTGTGCTGTGCTGTATTTGTGCATCAGCCCCGTTACCCTCAAACAAACTTGTACCTCTATACTTATACATCTATTGTTTTGTCTTTGTTTCAGACTTTTAGCTAATAGTGCTTGTAGGAAAATACAATACCACCAGGAGATGTTTGCTTTTGTTAATTTTTTCTAGAAATGTTATCATTATAGTATTTTAAGAGGCAAATTTTACTAGAACCTGACCTAACCAACCAAAGAAACCTACAACAAATGAAATCCATAAACATTTTCTGGTGGTAGTGGTTACCTCATAAATTACATGAGATACTGTGGATGATATCGATTTCTGGTGACTTAACATTGATTACTGTATATGAATTAGGTTATGTGTATTCACCCTTGCCTGTCACTGTCTAGTATGGTTTTTCCACTATTGTTTTACCCCAGTTTAAGATTGATTACTCAATTATCCACCCCTCAAGAGTGGTAGAGAAGGAAAGATGAGAATTAAAGACTTTACTGGGTATTTCTCATGGGTACATTATTGTCGGCAGGAATTTGAAATCATCGACTTCTTCCTGGCACCCCAGCTGAAAGATGAAGTGCTGAAGATCATGCCTGTCCAGAAGCAGACCCGTGCTGGACAACGTACTCGCTTCAAGGTGTGTGTGTCTGTTGCTCCTTCAGTAGTGACCAACTCTGGTAAATCATCATGGTCTCCAATTTATCTTGGTTAGAAGAAATGACGTGTAGCCCGTTCAAGATTTTTTTATTTTTTATTTATTCTTATTCTTCTTCCTCATAGAACTAGGCTAAGAAACCCTGTCCCTCTCAGAACTATAGTGTGGTTCTCATAACAGGGGAAGGGCTAAGAGAATAGATATTTGAATAAAGGAAGGAACAATAGTATAAGAAATGAGGTTTGTGGGGGACAATGTAGTTTTGATATTGCAACTTGGCACCTGTCACACTTGAGTACTGTCCTTGATCAGTGGGACAGTTCTATGAAGCAAGCAGGAAGAGTAAGGGTGGGCTTCGTGCTGGTGTGCTGTACTGTATTTGTGCATCAGCCCCGTTACCCTCAAACAAACTTGTACCTCTTATTATTTTGTTGTGGATTAGGTATTTTGTGTGCATTAACCCCCATAGTGCACCCATGGAAATGAGAATACGTACTTACATCCACTTTAGGTCACCCAGATGCTCAGTTTTTAATAGTATGAGTAACCAGAAGTCTTTTTCAGGCATTTGTTGCCATTGGCGATTTCAATGGACACATTGGTCTTGGAGTGAAGTGTAGCAAAGAAGTGGCCACTGCTATCCGTGGTGCCATCATTTTGGCAAAGTTGTCTATTGTCCCTGTGAGGCGTGGATACTGGGGTAACAAGATTGGCAAGCCACACACTGTACCATGCAAGGTAGGCACAGCCTTTTACTGTATTGAAGTTGAAAATATATATTTTCTAGTTAAGGTAATGCATTTTGAATGTAGCAGTCAGGTAAGCTATAGCACTTAGTTTTTATGCTAGACAATATTTTTACTCAAATTTTCCTGTAATTTTTAAATGAAATACAGTATATTGATGCTAGAATGGCTAGTGCCCTTTGATAGTTTATAGTTCCAATATTTTTACTTAATCCTGTTTGAGACCTTCAAGAGATTATCAAGAGTAGTTATCTCACTGTACATTATTAATTTTTTAGGTTACTGGCAAGTGTGGCTCTGTGTTGGTGAGATTGATTCCTGCACCACGTGGTACTAGCATTGTGGCAGCCTCTGTCCCCAAGAAGCTGCTGCAGATGGCTGGTATTGAAGATTGCTACACCAGTGCCCGAGGACAAACGGCTACTCTGGGTAACTTCGCTAAGGCCACATACGCTGCTATTGCCAAGACATACGCATACCTCACCCCAGATCTATGGAAGGAGACGGTGTTCACCAAGTCTCCTTACCAGGAGTTTACTGACTATCTTGCTAAGTATCACAAGATCAGCTCCGAGCAGCGCCAGGAAACCAAACTGTACTAGAAAACTCCTGCTTCCGTAAATAAAAAGTTACGGTGTGAAGTCTCTCTTCTCTGCCCCAACTTGTATATTGATGTCATAATTATTATTACAGTATTATTTTTCAATTTTGTTTAACTTGTTTCCATGTGTCAGTTCATGACAGGGAGTGGTTTCTATCCTTATTTACTTCAGCTGGTGAGACTACAGAGGTATTAACTTAACTTGGCCCCATCAGTACAAGAGGGCTTTGGTTGGGTCTCGGTGTTGTATGGGGTATTACCATTTGTTAAACACACGTTATGAACACTTTAAAAAAATCACAATTTCTGGGGTCTTTAAAAACAATTCATGAACATTATTGTACAAAGGTTATGAAAGTTACCAGGAACTGATATACAGTGGTGCAATTTGCCTATATGATGCAAAGTTGTAGTTTGTTGCTACGAGAGTGTTTACTGAAAAAATTTACATGTTAGTCTAATCGGGTTGTCAGACGAGTACCGTACATTGGCATTTGTTTAATACCATGTAATTGTAATCTATGGTAATTTTACCAATACTGTACACTTGGACTTGTACTGTACAAGCTAGTTTGTGGACACATTATTACCTTCATTAACTGGACACTGAATTTGAAATGAGTGTCGTGTATGAGGTTTATTGGAGAAAGGTTTAGTCCTCACAAAAGTTAAGAATAACCGCACAACCTTATATTGGTTAGAAGGGGTTTTTAGGGCTGAGTAATGTACAAGACGAAACCAAATGTTCATGATATAAGGGACTATACCATCACTTACATTAATGCTAAGTTAAAGCTTGATTTGAGTAATTCCGAAGAAAACTAAAATGTAGGGAAAAAGAAATAAACAAGGAGATTGAAAGGGAAAGTTAAGGCAGCAAATCTTGGGTATGCACTTGATACTGTACAGCTAAATTGAAAGAATGGTAAGAGAAATGAAAATGCACAAGAAATTTGGGAAATAAACAACAGGAGAGCAGTGGCTTGAGTAAAGTTGTAAACCAAATTTGAAGCCTTTATATAGCTAGAATTAATGAAGGGAAAATGTTTGCATCTGATCGGCTTGAAAGTGTAAAGCAAAACAAACGGACTAGTGGAAGGTAGGTTTATGTAGGACTTGGTATGAACTATCAATGAGCGTTTATTAATTAAGAATTGTCTCTGAACCTACTAGTGACGAAACCCATGAATAAGGGCGCAGCATGACCCTGTCTTATTTCCTTTTACAAAGGTTGTATGCTTATATGAGCAATAGGGGATGGGTGTAAACGGGACTGCCCAGTATGGGCCAATAGGCCCGCTGCAGTTTCCTCCATTCTTATGTTTTTATGTCAAATATATTATGGATTAACTGAAAAAAATTAGTTATTGGGATGACTAATCAAATACCATATTTACGAAAGAAAAATTATGAGTTACTACAATGCCCGTAGGTCATTTGAGACCAACATTCATAGGTAAGTGATAAAAAATACTTTTCTTGCTGTAACTTCCTCAGCTATGTAATGTTTATTCTAATTTCTGAATTGTTTAGTACCACTATTGGAATTTAGCTGTACTTCTCTCAACTTGCATTTCCATTCGTCTGCAATATTAGGATTAATATTCTCCAATAAAAACTTTTATGGTGAGAAATGTGCTCATGACACTTGACCTTTCTTACGAATGTAAATTATATTGTTTATTCTTTTTTTTTCTCGTATTGTTTTCAACTTTTGGTTTGCTCTTACTTGATTTCCCCGAGGAGCAACAGTTTATCGTTCATTGAATAGTCGTCTGAGAGAGAAGGCGTGGTAGATAACAGAAGGAGCAGCAGGTTATTATCAGTTTGGCCTATTGATCGCCACACTTGCCATAGTTACCCCAAAAGTTATCGATTTTTTTACAGCCCTCGTTCTCTTGTACCTCAGGCGTGCCAACACACACACCAGCCGCCCACAAAATTAACTCTCAATACCACGCCCTGGCAAACTGGTTCTACACTCCAACATTATCGTATCTAAGGTATGGACATAAAAATAGTTATTGTTATTACTTAGATACATATGAGAGGATTGTGATAATGAATGAGGGAAGAGTAGCAGGAGGAGGGTCAGCCTGGCGCCCCGCAGGTCCCCGGCCACAAGGAGCATCACAGCTATGAGAGGCAGAGGTACGTGATCAACGATTTGCCGGACAACATATCAAATTCCAGTGTAATTAGCCAGACTAAACGAATTCCTTGCTGCAGTATCTGTCGGTAAGTTGTTGTTTATGTGTTCAGTTGTGAGTGTATTTGGTTTAAATGACTTAGGGTGTGAGGAGGCTGGTTACACAATGGTCTGCAGGGACGCCGCCATTTGCCTCACGCTTGCTGTAGCTGAAGCTAGTAAAGTTGTCTTTTATCTTAAACTATAATTGAAAGGTAAGTGATAATGACTCTCGCAAGTGAAGTGTAGTGCCAAGGTGTATTATTATTATTTGGTAAGATGTTTTAGGCATTAATTGAAGTGTTAAGAGTATAGTTAGGACAGTCTCGCCGGCCCGGAGCCACGCGGGTCGAAGAACAGTTCAATACAGTACAGGTAATTAGAAAAAGTCTTAAATATTACGCAATTCCTTACTAAATGTTTTCCAAGACTTGTTTTCAGGATAGTTCTTCATCATATAATACGGGATGTGGGATATAAGGAGCTAATATGAACATTATCTTGTTAGGTGGGTGTTGGCCTCGCCTACCCCAGACCTTGTGTGACCTATAGGGTGGTAACCGTTTCTTTATTTAGATGGGTAATAGTGGAGGAGATGCTGCTGACACCAGAAGGATTTATTTCTATTTGGTGAATTTTTTTCACATATTTTATTTGGATGATTAATAAAAATGGGTAAAATTATCGGTTCGATCTTGCATATATCTGGAAGTAGTGTAGATCAGAATCATTCAAAATATACATAAAAAAAACATCGGAAAAACATAAATTAAAGCTAACCTAACCTAAACTTTAAATTCGCTGCATGGCCTAAATGAACCTAAAAATGGTACAACAACGTTTTTATTTAACTTAAGGAATTAAAACCAAAAACGGCAAATTTTCACTAGTGCAACAGTCTTTGTTTGGATATTAAAAATGTTTTTCCGATATTATTTGATGAGTTTCGAACGAGTTTGATATTCATTTCAGCCGGAAATCAATAGTTTTTGACATCCTCTCCCTCACCCTACCCATCAATTTTAACGAAAAAATATTTTTTTTCCCGAGTAAATCACAAATAAAACCCAACAAAACCAAACCTAACCTAACTATTTTTCTGATGAAACTCTGCAATTGACGTAAAATAATCTCTTATCACAATGTCGGCACAACTCTTTCCACCTGCTCAGCCATATCTGGTTATTCTGGTACTGAAAAATAAAATCTCCACTCCCGACGCACCCACGCATTGTTCATTGGCTATTGCCCAATTATGTCTCCTATCGCTATAGCCAATAAGAAACTCCCACCCAGCACATGCGCTGTAGACGCCTAAGAAGCCAACACGGAGGATAAAGAATCCAGAGGAGAATGATAAGGCTAATCCCGGGCATTAGGAACCTTGAGTACAGACAGGTTAAAGCATCTTAATTTGCACTCCCACGAGAGACGTAGAGTGAGGGGCGAAATGATAGAGGTGTATAAATGGAAGTCAGATAAACAAAGGGGACATTACAGAGGTACTCAAACTATCGGTAAATTTGCATTGTCACACCGTTCACTTTTAGCACGTAAAAAATATATTTTTCTAGTATATTTGTGTGTTTAGCCCGAATATGACCTTCATTTTTGGCGGAAATTAGCCGGGTTTTTTTTATCGATTTTTTTTCGTTTGACGTTTTCCGAAAAAAAAGTGACTAAGCGACTAAAAAATACACAAAAAAACACTAGAAAAAAAAAAACCTAACTTAACCTAACCTAACTTAACTGACTCTCACCATATGATGGAATCACCTATTTCTTACCTTATTGGCCTGGTTCTTGTTCGTCATTGCATTCTGGGATTCTTACACAACGCCACATATGTTGGTCTTTGCGATATTTACATTCAGTCTTGCTCTTAATACACTTTACTGAGGTTGGAAGAACACCATGCGATCGAAAAAATGCTATAGTTTCTACGTTATTTTTTTCAAAAAACTCGCAATCAGCTCCATATACTTTAAGTGACATCCATCGCAGACTTCCATGGTCGGAACTGAACTTGAATTTCAAAATATGAGACCCAAAATAAAACTGATTTTGATTGGGCCAAATATACTCTGAATTAAACCCAAAATCATTTTAATTGGTTCCAAAAGCAAAAACGCTTTTGATTGGCCGCGTGACGTGTACAGGAACGCATGCGCGTGATGATTTATGAAGGAGACGGTGTGTAAACGCAATAATACCAAACTATCCAATCAGGAGCAAACTTGTAACAATGGTTTTAAATTAGACAAATTTAGATTTAGGCGCAAAATAGGTAAACATTGGATTGGAAAAAGAGTAGTGGACGAGCGGAACTAGTTACCAAATATCATCATTAACTCGAATACGCTGGATAGCTACAAACATAGGTTGGATGGATATATGAGCAATAGGGGTTGGGTGTAAATGGGACTGCCCAGTAGGGCCAATAGGCCTGCAGCAGTTTCCTCCATTCTTATGTTCTTATTTATGGTACAAATATTTTATTGTTTTACACAAGCTAGATACTTGTGACTAATAGAATAAAAGTTAGGATGATGATTGTGTGCTGATCATAAATTCTTTATTACATCTTCAAAAAAAAATTAATGAAGGAATAAGTTTTCATTACAGTGGGGTATGCTATAACGAATCTAATTGGTTCTAGAACCTTGTTCGTTATAGCATTCGTTTGTTATAGGATTAATCCGTTCCAGGCCCCCAAATACAACCACTTAACACTGAAAAATATAATATAAAATTGTAAAAAAGTGCATAAATATGCATCTAAACCCCTGAAATAAAGAATATCATTAATATTTGTAATAATAAAACAATAAATTAGAAAAAAAAATTAAATTATGTTCGTTGTAGGAGTTTCGTTCGTTATAGCATTCTCAATTTTATAGGTAAAAACCGTTCGTTATAGGAATATTCGTAGTAGGATCCATTCGTTATAGCATACCCCACTGTATATTGTTTTCTTGATTTTTATTTATTTATTTATTTTTTTTCAAACATACACAGCTGCCTGCTACCACACACAGCTCTTGAGAGTTTACATCTGGGACATTGTTTCATCTACAGAAACACTTTCATGCCAACTGCAGCTACATTATGTGATTTATCAAATATAAAAGGAACAAACCTAACTTGCCTTGCCTTACCTTACCTGACCTGACCTTACCTAGGTTAGGAAGTTAAGTAGATTCTGGTTTGTTTATCTTAGAACCAAGAAATCATATTACAGTAAAGAAGTATTTTTAGTAAGTTTTTGGAAGCATTTCTGTGGATGAAACAAACTGTCTCAGTGTAATCAATGAATATGGCATCTAGTGCAGGGTTAGAATAGTGTTCAGGATGGGAAAAATGTAAAAATATTAAACAAAAGTTGTTCCTTTCCTTTTTGGGGCATTTTATGAAATAAAGCATTTCTTTGGGAACATTTCCTCAAGCTGCTGGTCAACATACACAGCTATCATCGAGTTCAGTATTAACAGTGGGTTTTCTGGCAATACTGTGGAATAGGGTCCCAGGTTAACCAGCATCTAGAGAAAGTTTCCTGTAGAAGAAAACTACTTGGCTAAAAGAATATCTGAGAACAGGTGATGAATTGCAGTTTTAAAATTTTCTTTTTCTAGATTTATTGTTATTAACAAATGGTATCGGTCCACTTGACGAAGCCATGTGTGACGCCTCCCACTGACCTCTCCATACCTTATCTAATCAGACATATCTAACGACTTAAAATATTTGACAGTCTTCCATTCTAAGGTAGGTAAGGCAGGAAGGTTTGGTTGGTTAATCTTATCTACAGTGAATCTGTAATGTAACTGTTGCTGGAAGTGCACATTGCTGGGAAACATTTCTGTTCTTGCACATGAAACATTCCATGTTCGCTAAAACAGTCCATACAGTATCATTGGGAGGATGGATTGGATATATTTATAATCAGAACTAAGGAAAAATAAAATTACTAAACTTGTCACCACTCCACCTGTTTGTGATGTTCTTGAGGTTAGAGGTTATATTCTATTGGAAAACTTTCTCTGGTTGATTGTTACCCTGGGACACTTCCAGAGTATTACCAGTTAATCTTTACACAAAGAATGTTGATTGTATTTTATCCTGATATTTTGCCATATTAAAATGCTGAGTGTTAATTCCAAGAATTTTTTATTTTTATTTTTTAAATTTGTAAACCTGTATTGACAAATGCTTTTTCAACAAGGTCGTGGACGTAGCAACTGGCGCTCAGGAGCTGCTGCAGCAGGAGAATCACCCCCTGAAGTTGACACATTTCCTGCTCCACCAGTTAACGATCAGTCCCCAGCAATGGACTTTTACCAACAGAATCTCCCTGCCCCTGCAGTAGATGTTAAGATGGATGTAGGTAACGAGGTGGTGTGGAAATTTAACAGACTGTTTAAAAGACCACATACTTCATCCACCACTTGCTTGTATTATTACAGTACAGTATTGTATAACAGATGGGACAGATAGCCTTTAACATAATACAGTACAGGGTACCTTATCGATTGTTTAAAGCTAAAAAAAGGTTGTAGAGTTTCATTTATCTAATGTTTGTATTATTTACTTAAGTTGGTTTAAGAGGTTTATCAATATTTTGCCTTGTATATCTTTCAAATTGGATAAGTTTACAGTACAGTATTAATGTTCATGTGTAGATTATACAGTACAATACATAACTTTAAAATGTGTTTTATGCAGGTTCAACTTACAGAATGAGCGTATAGGGATGCTACAGCTCAGGGACTCCCAACATAAAGACCTTTTAAAAACTGGAGAAAAATGTTGCTTCTTTTATTTTTTTTATATACCGTATACTGTACTGTATAATGTTGCCAAAATGTACTTTCCTTGTGTGACCAAGATTTTGTCGTTTGATGGGACAACAACCCTGAGACCCTGTATTGTTTTTTTGGCGAGACAAATGGCCCAAAACTTGCTTTAACCTCTTGGTTCCCATAGAAATTAATCCCAGACAGACTGTTCAGCATCCACAATGTCACATTTCTTACAAAAATAACTTTAAAATTTTTCAGTTTAGCTCGGGGTAGTGTTCCATAACCCAAGGAACTAGATCTGCTTCTACGTACTAGGACTATTTTATTGTAAGAAAACTTAAGTTTTCTGTGAATCCCTTCTCTCTTATTTAATGCTGTAATTTACAGGTGCCAGTGTCGGATAGTGATGCCTCAATGCAGGAGGGAGAACAGCAGGCAGAAACAAGGAAGCGACCTTGGGAAAAGCCAGGAGGTAGGGAAGCTTTACTATGGTTGAGGGCATGTTGCCTTAGGTACTAAGGTACTAAATTTGGTGCTGCTAGAAGAGAATGCCTTGTGAGATAAACTGAAATATTGCAAGTAATTTGTGTGAATAAATTATTTGTGGAAAAAATGTACAGTATACATTAATCATGTTTTATAATCATGTTCCCATTTCATTTTAGTAAAACTCCTCAAAAGCTACTGAAGACAATTTGTTAGTTGTCAGTAGAATGTGACTCATGAAACATAAGGCATTGGTAATTTTAACTTAGTGAGTTTTTAGGGAAGCTTTGCTTTGTTTACCTGTTAATTACTTTTCTTTTTTCTGAATTAGTGAGGCTTGCAGCTATAATTTTCCTTTGGAGTGAACTGTAGGTAGACGTAATGCACTGAGGGCTTCACTTCATTTACACTTAACTGCAGGATATTCTGGTTAAGATTGATGTCTTACTTTTAGTCAAACTGGTTTTAGTTTGTAGATGTTTAAAAGTTCCTAAACATTCCTGTACTCTTATTAACTTTGGTTTTTTGCTATATAAAACTTATCAGTGTACTGGGTTAGCATTGTTCGTACAGCGTTATTTTCCAAGGTGGTTTTTTATTTTTTTATTTAGACTTTTATTTTTCCAAAACTTTTTTCATTGGCATGGTATTTATTGGCGCTCTTCTTTGTTTTGACAGCGGGCTAGTTTGATGGCCGCGCAAGGTCATCTTTGGTCCCATGACCTGTTATGTCTCCTCACGACACTAGTTAATTGTAGCACTCCAGAAAGCCAGCCGGGGATTCTGTTGTAGTCATCTTTTTGACAAAGTCAGATTTAGGTTGGTTTATATTGAGACTTTTAAGGGTTTTAACAAGAGATCCCTCGCTGGCTGCCATGCATGAGGCTGGGTGCATACTTAACAGTCGTAGAGACATTTTCAGAGACTTTAATTGAAGCGTGTTGCCCACACTTGTCATGGATGTCTGACTGAGGTGGGAAGTACGCCAGGTACTGAATCCTACCCAGTCATTCCACCTAAATTTATTATGTGACAATCTGGCATGCAAATCTAAACACAGTGGGGAGATGTTTTATGCCCAATGGCATTAACTTGGCTTAAAGATCTCAACTTGGTGTTTTGTTGTAATTACTTGCAAGCTAAGGCAGGTTGGTTTTCATGTCAATGGCAAGTGTGTTGCGACCTTTCAATTAATATGTGGTGGCAGGCATCAAGATCAAGAGAAAGAAGGTCCCAGGAGCCAAGAATCTTAAAATCCGGAGATACGTGCAGCCAAAGAATGCAGTAATGTGCCTCAACGAGCTCCGGCCAGGAGTGACATACACGACAGAGCAAGAAGGAGGAGTCGGACAACCGTTTTGCATATCTGTAGAGGTATCTACTGGGGTATGGCAAATAATGGCCTAATATCGAGGATATGATGTGCTATTTCACTCTCTTTTGTATTTAGTGTTAAGTGAGGCCAATCAAGAGTCTTTCCGGCTATATACTAGATGTAGTTTATTTGGTAAAAACCCCATACGTCAGTGGTCCCTCGATTAATGAACACAATTGGTTCCACAGTTGTTCGCTAACCAAAAATTTTGTTAACCGAATCTATTATTTCAATGGGATGTTGGGTAATTGGTTCCAACTCACCGAAAAAAAGTATACATACCGGTAATAGAATTAACAAAACATTAAATATAAACTAAATACAGTACTGTACTGTACAATAATAAATAAAAAACATAGAATACTGTATTTTAACTTACTTTGAGGTGTGTATGTTGTATTCCCGGCAACTTTGTTTACATATCAAACGGCTGATTGTAGAGGCAGTCGATGATGACAAGCCACATTCTTTACAGATTGCATTGGTTCTAATGACTTCTTCATGTTTCATAATAATTTCTGCACTGTATATTATCAATGTTAACTAAATTTCAGAATGACCAATAATGTTAATGTAAAAATGCAAAAATATTCGAGCCCAAACTCGATGTTCACTCCACTGTAAACAAAGTTAAACTGAGAAGCGTTGGTGGGTGATTCAATCAGCTGATGGGCACACAAAAACTGTTCCCTGTACTGTCTATATTATCAATATGTTAAAAAAATTTAAGAATGACTAATAATTTTAAAATAAAAAGCAGAAATATTAAAGAACACAACCTTCTTACTCCACTGGAAACGAATGTAAACATAGAACCGATTAATGTATTGGCGGACTAGCCGATCAACTGATGCGCACACCAAAACATGTATCTCATAAGGTTTTCGTTAATCGAACTGAAAATCCTTATGGGAGCTAATTCGTAAACCAAAAATTCGTTCATCTAACCTTTCGTTAACCGAGGGACCACTGTATTCTTATTTTCTTTACCAATTCGATTTTAAGAATTTACAGTAGTTCTGTTTATATTAAACCTTTCTAACTTAATTTTGCTGTTTAAAGCATGTTCTTCCTTTATTTATCATTCCTTGATGATATAACATCTAATGGGTATACTCTAGGGGGAGAACATGATATAGAACAAGTAGTTTTATGTTCCATATAGTACCTTTATTTTGTGAACGTACTTTGATTGTTGTATTACCGGAAGCATTCTCATTTTTGGGGCCCTTGTGTTATTGTCTTGGTTTTGAATTAAACTGAAGTGTAGTTTTTTCTTTTATATGATTTGAGAATTAAGATGGCAAATATTCCTTTGAAATTTTTAAAATACTCTGTGGTGCCATCATTTAAGTTTAACCTACTTAATCCTCTTTGGCAGGTTGACTCTCAAAAGTACAGAGGGTTTGGATCATCCAAACAGTTGGCGAAGCAGGCTGCAGCTGAAGCAGCACTTATTAGTTTTGTAAAGCCTCCAGTCACTACAAATAATACTGAAAATCAAGAGGAGGATAAGACCCCTTGGGCTACCCTTGCTTCATTTGCTATATATAAATTATTCAATGATTGGCGTGAGGGTCGAGTTGGCATGTGCCCCCCACCTGCTCAGCCTTATGGCACTGCAGTCCCCCCTGGTAAGTGTTTCACGTTTATGATGATTAACTATAATACATTTCAACATTTCTTTATCACTTGTACTCCCTCTGCTGCAGGAGTGATGTATGTCATTACCTTAAAACCATATTCAATGTGTGGCAAAAAGTGTTGGTACAGCAGAAGGATGGTCTTCTAGAAATAGGATTTTGTTAGATCAAGATTTAGATCTGGAATGGTAATGGATTCTGCTTTAGTGCACAGAGGGGCTCTTGTTATGGCACCTTAGCAGAAACGTGAGCCTTTTAAAATTGTTCGCGTGCTATACTGTATATATCTAAGTGATAGTGTTCCATATCTTGCCTAAATTGTCTATATATGGAACATTTTTTCCTAGAATATCCATATTGCATATAACACTCATAAGTGCAATGATAAACTGATAGAGGAGGGGGGTCAATACCTACTCCAGCAATTGCACAATAAATCTTATGTAAAGGACACAAGTCGTCACCTGGTGTTCTGTCATAGGTGGATTTTGAATTGAATAGAACCTTGTTCGTAACCAGCTTACAGGTACTGTATATACATTGCATTATAGGTTTTACTGGTTAGGTAAAATTCACTAGATACTGGACAGAAATAATCGCGCCTAAACCATTTTTGGGGGTCCGTTAGTCTGTGATGTTAGGCATTTTGTCGGTACAGTATCCAGAAATGGTGGATGAATTTTGTTAATATGAGAATCACGTACTGTATGGGGTACTTATTGAATAAGGGAATAGCTGTATGCCATTTGTAGTTCAGTAAACATAGTGTGGGTAGCTGGAGGGTACAGTACAGTAGTTGTAGCCATTACTGCTCTAATGGTAGTGGCGCCAGATCGTCTAATGGCCCAATTCATTTGCCTCTGCTGTATATTGTGGCTGGATGTACGGGTCCTATAATGCGCTGGTTCATTCAGGAACCCCTTGAGAGTTGCTAGAATATGGGAAGTTTGAAACTTTAGCACACGTTGAAATCGGGATATTGAGGTTATTGTCGGCAAGCGCAAAAACACAGATGCCATGTTAGCTATTGCCAAAGGAGTTAAACCATAAGGCATACAACTAATTTAATTTTGATTTGATAAAGGCCTGAGGTAATATTCATCAGGAAAAACTTGTAGGGAATGTAATGATATTTATATAAGTATGACATGCACACACTGGTTGTGGATAAATTTTTTTAAAGTTTTAGAGTGATTTTTAGGACCTAGAGCAGTGGTTCTCAACCTTGTTTGCCCCATGCACCCTTTTCACCATATGTCAGAATGTCATTCCCCCCTCCTTTCCAAGATTGTCTGCCTCAAAAAGTGCATTCCAAATAATATGCATATAATACTGAAAATCCTTTATTTTTTCCATATTAGTATCAGTTTTGCCCCCCCCCCTGAAAACCTGAGGGGGGGAAATTCCCCCCTGGTTGAGAACCCCTGACCTAGAGTATTACTGCTTTGTTTTCTGTAAAGAATTATTGTACTTTTCTCGTTTTCTTATTATTGCTGATAAATTTCCAGAAGTGGAAGTGTTGAAATAATGGGTTAAGTGTTCATGAATTATTGTTATATTTTTAATTTTGAAAGGTAAAGGCCAGGGTGTTATTTAAGGATCTGAGCACATGTTAGAGGTAACTGGGAAGAGGGACCAAAGGTAATCTGTTACTAGAGTGCAGACATTGGAGGTGCTGAGAGTTCATACAATAGGTGACAGAATGGGTGGAGTTATAGAATGTGCATTGAAGCAAGTATTAAAGGAGGAATTTTACATACAGATGATAATGAGATGTCTAGAATAGAAGTGATGAACCTGCCAAGATCCCAATTTGAGAGTACATTATTATGTTTATTTTATTATATTTTTTATACATGCCTGTTTCCTTGCAGTGTGGGAGTGGGGGGTATAAACACTGAATGTATGTCAAGAAGGGGAGTGTTTTAACAATTGTCCTATTCATGTTGGACTAGAAGCCCAGGAAAACAATCATCACTCCAAATCTTGATGTTTATGGTCTTGGGAGTTAATGGCACAAGAGTTTTGTATCTGATGTATTTGGGATAGGAATTTGGTTAATAACTTGAGATAAAGGTGTGTGTGTGGGTAATGGAAAGTATTTTAGGGTTTAATTCATTTAAAATGTGAAAAGATTATGGAAGTCAAAGAAAGTAAATTTCAGTGAACATCAACATAGCAGAGTGATGAAAATAGAAAGAAAAATTTAATGTCGAAGGGATTAATGTCAGGTGTCTGGGAGTAAATGTTTCAAGAGATGGGATGATTGACAGGTGAATGGTGTGAGAATTGTGTTACAGGAGGCAAAGATAGGAATATATGTGTGGATTGTTGTGAAGCATGGACTGGAGATGTGGTTGGAAGTGACCTCCATGATGTGCTTAAACCCTTGTGTATGGGTTCCCCTCTGAGCTGAATAAAATATTAAAAGTGGCGTCCCAGCAGTGAAGGGGTTCGTGGGGTGCCGACCAGGGTTTGCTAAGGTGGAGTGAACATCTGGGGAGACTGAGAATGGCTTTAGGGGATAGATATACTGCTGATGGGTGATGTGTTAGAAGGACAACAAATGGATATGTGGAACCTTGTTTGTAGAAGAGGAGTAAAGAACACATCTCTTTCAGAGAATTTGTGAGTGAATGACAATGTGGGAGTTTGTTCTTGGTTCTTACTAGTGACTGCATCAAGCTTGTGTCATTTGCCAATGTTGTTAAAAATATTCAAGACGACATGGTAAGAGTGCGGTGGCAGAGGACAAACATCTTAATAGAAATATATAGTTCATATGCGGACAGCAGTTGTATTTTAGTGTTTTGTTCTACATCTTTTAATGAGGAGATAATAATTGTAGCAGTTATTTATTCCCGAGGGTAACGGGTAAACAGCACTTTGTTTGTCCTTCACCGCTACCATGTTGTCACCCAGAAGCTCCTCCTACAACTGTGTGATGTCATTGACAAACTGCTGTTGATGGAAAATGAGTGGGAGAGTTTTAAAGATTTAACTCTTTTGTTAGGACAAATTAAACTTATTGCGATGTATCCAATTGGTCCATTGTCGTAGGAACTAGTTGCCTCTCATGTTGCAGGATACCAAGCATTCCTAAATCAGCAAACTGTGGGAACAACTACGGTTAAGGAAGAAACGCCTCAGGCAGCAGCTTTTGCCGAAGCAATTTGTGCACACCTAGGAGGCCGCGCCCCTAACACTCCAGCCACTGATGCTAAAGTAAGTTATGTTCTTTTTCTTTAATATAGAATTTGTACAAGATTGTAGTAGTGACCATTGTTCTCTGGACAATGGCTTAATAATTCTCCAGTTACTAGGGAGCGATGAGGTGATCATCATCCGAGTTTGGAGAACATTATTTGATTTGTTTACATTTCTACATTTTTCTTCTTTTTTTCAGCAGGACACAAATTTGTCTTTCCAGTCAACAGAGCCCATGAAAGTGCCAAACCCGGCCAAGCAGGTCCCTGAAAATGCTGCCGGCATGCACCCTGTTATGGTATTGCACCAGATGAAGCCTGGCTTACAGTACACCGTGTCCCAGACGATGCGGGAGAGCAAGCCCTTCTTTAGTGTGACTGCTGATATTGATGGAAAGGAGTTCAGTGGGGAAGGTATGTTTTAATCTTGGCTCTGAATTTGAATAATTTTTTTTTTTTCATTCATTAAGTTCTGTTTTGGGTGTCTATTATGGTTAATAGCTTATTAGTTTTCAAATTGCTGTGGATTTATTTTGAAACAATACTGTACTACATATTTACTAGGGTATTGTTTCCTTTAATGCCAACAGCTTAGTACTGTAATTTGCAAGTTGGTTTTGTGTTGTATGTTGGTCAATGTACAACTTTTCTAAATTTCTGGTTATGTTGGCTTATAGACAATCCCTGTTACCTATGGCTGACAGTCAAGGGTGACATTTAATATACAGTAACTCCATTCTGTGGAATTACACCCAAGGAAACCATTCATAAAGTGACTTGATCAGGCTATCAGAGAAATACTGTACCAACATAAATAATCTTCACTTATTGTAGTTACAGTTAACATGGTCCTGACCCACATAGTTTAGAAATTATTCACCTCAATCTTACAATGCTGCTATTCCTCTGCTCACAAAAATATTACCTAACATGCACTCGTAATCCATAATGGGTAAAATAATATTGTGTTCTGAACTACAGGATACGTACTGTGACTCGAGTTATTTTGAGAGATTTTTTTTAGTGCCAACTGCTGATTAACTTACAAGTTATGTTTCGTGAAAGTTTAGTGGTGTTTGAGATATCTAGTAATGGTAGCAATTATTTACAATTGTTGGAAAGATGGTGATAAAGTAAGTAATGGTTGTGCTGCATTTTGAAACCCAGTAGTAAAATTGCACTGAATAAAATCCTCATATTTTTTACAAAAGCAATTTCTATTAAGCCTACTTTTAGGCCATGAATCCATCCTTGGTCTCCTATGTGGTGTTGCTGAATATTTTTCATTGGTGTATAAGATGTAAAGTAAGATGTTGGCATATAAGAATATGTGATAATGACAATTGTTTTTGTTTTTTATTCCAGGACCCAATGTGAAGAAGGCGAAGTTCTTCCTTGCAAAGGAAGCGATCCTAGGACTGTATGGTGTAGAGTCTTCTTTTGAAACCCCAGCCTAATGTGTTAGTACATGACTTAAGATAGATGTTTTCCTTAACATTTCTTTTGGTAGAAGACTGTATATTGTTTTCCTTTACTATTCTTTAGGTAGAATAAATTTACCAAAGTTCGTAAGTGATAATTTTGTTGGTTTTATCTTTTAGAGTATCCCACTAGTGTCTGCATTTGCTAGCTAGCACAACCTTGAACCTTGCTACCAGTTAGCTATCTTGAACCTTTCAAATTTGGCTACAGTGTATTTAAATTAGAAAAGAATTATTAAACAGGTGTGTTCGTTGTGTTTGACACTACAGTGCCGAGATAATAACAGCTTTCAGGATACAATACTGACAAATGCCACAAATTCGCATGCTACAGTAATAAAAATTGTGCATTTTGAAAGTGTAGATGCGTTTCATTACGGTGAAACCATTGTTTTGTGTTTTATTTGTATGCTTGATGCCTTTTGTTTTTAGTTTGAAAGGGCTTTGAAGAAAAGTCTTGAGATATGAGTCAACATTTGTATATTTATATAATTTTTTTAAGTTTCTACATTAGAATCATTTAACATGTAAAATACCAGTACCTGTATCTGGAAATGATGGGTATTAATAAAAGGAATACATTATTCAATTACATGTATCTTGTAATTTCTGTTCTGTGTTTCAAATTTTGAATTCCAAAGGAAATCTAAGAATAAAAGAGAAAAAGCTTTTAAAAGACTTTAATATTTGTATCATTACCTTGATGAGTAAGAGATAATCTGTAATAGTTTTAGAAAGGTAGGGTTAGATTTACAATGGTATATAATTATGTTGAAACTAGACTGAAGTGGGTGAAACGAGGGAAGAGGTGTTTTATTTTTTTCCCTTTCCCATACCCGTTTAATGCAGGAAAATGAGCAGATTAGTGCATGCTCCATGATTTTATTTACTGCATATACCATCTTGAAGTACACACCTAAATTAATTAACATGACTTCTGAATCTTCCACTAGTGCAATGTCATCTGCTAACTTATACCTCCGTCCGTGACATGCATTCACCTCTTCCCACTCCATCCATAAAAATATTACATTCACTCTCCAAATAAAAACGGACTGCATTAAACTGTATCTTACATTTTCACTTTCTCTATTTACACCGGGTGTGCTATTTTGTACATAAGGAATATTGTTGTCAAATACAACTACTGTACTGTACTGAGAAACTTAGTACATCAGCACTTATTAAGCCCACATAAATTCCCATTACACTGTTATAACTACTGCACGCTTTATGTACACAAACTACTAATTATTTTCACTCCTTCAATAGCCATTCCTAGGGTAACTATACATTCTTTCTTTGAATCCTCTGGTACTGTCAAAACTTTTGCTCAAGACAATTTGTATTGGCATTGATGATTTAGCAGCAGCATGCATGCGTCTCACAACTGGTCGTAGATTCAAATCCCTGGGTCAGATGTGGGAAGGGTGTGCTCCAGTGCATCCCCCTCCCAGACTAAGTTATCTTAAGTATTGACACTGGACCATGGAGGTTATAACAAAGAATAAACTGAATGGCTGGTAAGTGTGGAAATAATTTGATTGCTGTACTGTCTCCCATAACCTACATAATGGCATTTCCATATGCTGTTACATAATATTCTTAAGCTTGCTTAGTCAGTCTTGTCTCCTCTATCCATGAACTTTTTCTTTTGTTTTTATTTTGTTGCTTCAGTTTACCACATCTAGGACTATACCTCATCTGTTACAGTTCATGTTGTCTCCCCATACTCCTTTTATTTCCTCTTATTTAACAACAGTCAAAGTTCATTCTAAACTGCCATAGCAAATTTAGACCGGTGTTGAGAATTATTACAAAATACAATACTGTACCTTTAATAAGTAAAGTCGGTCATTAATACACAAAAAGTGAATTTCTTGGTTAGGATTTGTAATACATTGTACCTGTATTGGCCAGTTAATTATGTTACAAAATTATTTATTTTGTCTAACCTGGAGTAAGTGAGGAACCAGAAGCCAAGACTTGGATGAGTGGATAAAAAGTGGCTTACTAAATCACTGACTCGGTTGAATGACCATAAAACCTGCATTAAGAAGTGTTTTGTTGTTGGATAAATTAAATAATATAAAATTTCAGTCAGTTGTTCAGACTGATTGAAGGTACAGAATATGAAATTTTTTGTGATCGAATATAAAGTGATTTAAAAGCAGGTCTGTCATGAATTGCAGACTCAGTCTTGTGTGTTGGACAATGGAAGTGGCAGGTATTTTGGGCAGGAATGAGGAGTTGAGGGTGTGGTGGGCGTTAAAGTGACTGAAGGTTGTGGGCATTGGAATGGTGGTGGATGCTGAAGTGAGTGGGTGATTGGTGGGCATTGAAGGGATGTTGGTTATGAATGTAATGGATATTTGTGGTGGGCTCCGTCTTCAAAATGTGTTTTGGTCCATGGGTAAGGGTTGCAGATGTGGTGTACAACCACCTCTTCTTGCCAGAGGCAGCAGTGTTTCATCATGCAGCTGGCAGCGGGGAGGAGCCAGACATGTGGTGTGTTTACTCAATTCTACTGCATGACACCAAACATTCTACTTTTCTAACGTTATCCACGCTGGCCTGTTTTCTCGAACATTCCACTGTTTTTAATCGACCACTGCTTGCAATTAAGATGTTCATTATTAGCAATGTATTATTAAATTGAACATAATCTTACTGTGAGGAAAGATGTAATATGTTAATGTTTTGTCCCCTGAGTGTTTGTGAAATAATCAATTGTCTCGAAAATGTATAGCGCAAATTCGGTGAAACTTGACAGGTGATTTGAATGATGACAGAAAAAACTATACCTTCAGTAAACTGAACAGTGGTTAACATCACAGCTCGAGAACAGAGTCTATGGCCTTTGAGGCCTTCGTTAAGGGATGTAAGGCGGTGCCCAATAAACTAGCCGCCTCTGGGGCAATCTAAATCTAAAACAATGTGATTTCATCCTTGGGGAGTTTAAATGACGCCAGGGAAGAAATTAACTGAGCTGAGAAGTAGCTGGGACGGTCTAGATGTGAGGGGGAGGAGCCGCTGACCTTGACGACGTGATGATCTCCCCCCACGCCTGGACTGCTGCAGCAACCACGTGTTCTCCTTGTCTGGTGCCCCCAGGAGGACCACTGTCTCCTGCAGCTCACACAGTACAAGTGGAGAAACACTCAAGGGTTGTTACAGCATAAGTATATACCACGTTAGGATACTCTGGGGAGGCAACCAAAAATTATTACAGCATCTACTGTAGTACAGGTATACGTACTTCCAACTAACAGCCCACAAGGTGAAGAGAACATCCTGGAAAAGCAACCAAGAATTATTACAACATCGATACAGGATATACTGGAGAAACAACTCAAAATTAATACAGCATATAAACATAGTGTACTTAACCAATACTGTACAGCACACAAAGATATATTTATACTGGAGGAAGCTACCTGAACTTATACACGTACAGTACAATAGGTGTAAACCGCAGTTACATGCACAGCTTTACAATACTTTACACTAAATAACATGACACAAGAAACGACCAATAATTATATATCTGACCACCTTTATATTGACACAGTACACGAAGAAAAAAGTCCTAAATTACCGTCTGTATTACCATACCAAATATTACTAGTACGATGATAATATTTGATGATCTTATTGTTGTAAAGTTCTCTGATATAGACTAACTTAGAACTATTGAAATAATTTATAACTACAGTATAATGACCCATACAGACTCAGTACAACTATATTGATAAAGCTGCCTTTTGACTGTTAACAAACGCTTGCAATAATTTTCAGTTTGGCAACTTGAAAATACTTATTCACTGATAACTTCAAGATTATTTTACATAATAGCCAGAAATATGTATAATATCTTTAACCCTTAATTGTTGTTGGCGTCGATTTAATTAAATGCATTAGTTAAAGTTTCTTCAGTATTACATTATAACTAATTACAGCAAAGTATATAATTCCTCAATACAAAATGTCTAATATCAGCAGTTAGTTCATGAATTTAATAATTTTAAAATAATGTAATCTTAAGTCAATGTGTCTTACTTCATTAACTTGGAAATTAAAACACTAAAAGAAATACATTGAAGTGTTTCAGTGACGTCATCAAAATTTGGGCGCGTTAAATTGCGAGTCTATCTGTTCCCCCGAGTGTGTGTTAATAACCTGGCTACACGAGTAAAGACCTTCGTTAACATTATAAGAACATCAACAGTGTTCAGTGAAGATTATATTTCGTGTTATTAGTGGATGATTAGATATACATGTAGACAATGAATGGTGCTGCCCGACAGGTACGTACAATTACCTGTTTCTCTCATTTATCATTTCCTTTCCACACTTTTGTCATTAAAAACAGTGTATAGACCACTAAGCGATATACTGTGTAGACAAAGTTATATAGTGGTTTATTCCTGCTTAAATCACACTGTTTAAGCTTTGTTTTTTGGACGGCAACTGTATTGACGGACTGTGTTGTTAATGGTTAGGTTAGGTTAGTCAGAAAGAAAGCCATCTTAGTAACTCATTGTGTAGTCTGCCCACCACACATGCGCATTAGGCTTTTTTTTTTAATAGACATGGACGCTTCGTTTACAGCTGCCAGACCTACTGTATATCCTGTACCATTTTTATAATTCGTAAATTACTTTTTGAACTGCTGAAATGAGTCGGTGGTGGACGCTTTAGTAAGTCTTGCGTCGCATTTATCTGAGTTCAAGCAAATGTGATTAATCATTCATGAAAGATGCCAGTGAAATATACTAGTAAACGTCTATCAGAACGCGAAAACCTGAAACCATCTTGTGCGTTGATGGTCTACACTATGTCAGGTATAATATGTTCAAACTATCAACCAGTACTATTTATAAACTAATGCTTCTGGCACAATTTTTTTTCTGGACAGTTCCTGATGTGGTTTACTTTATAGACTGTCAGTTCAGTGGTAGATCCTTAAAACATAGGATAAGTTTGGTTGATTCTTGTGATTTTCTTCATATTTTTTAAACTGGTTTTGGCGTTACTAAAAAAAAGGAGAACATTAGTAAGAAAACAGTATTGTAAAAAATACCAAGAAATATATTGCTTCGGGTTATACGTTTACTAGGAATATACGGGTTCCTCTTTACCAGGCGTTATCCTGTACTGTATATTAAGAGCTGTTGCAACCATCCTGGGTATAGAATGAAGTACTCTACATAATTTACAACAGCAGACACGAACCACTCAAACCTAATAACAAAACCCTAACTACCATACACAACCTAACAATTTCTTGTTACGCTGCGGCTCTCAAAACATGTATACTATGACCGAATCTGTGATGAGTCGCTGCCCCTCCCTCCATAAAACAGTATGTACTTATCACCTTAGACTGGAGGAAACAGTAATGTGCGGGTGTGGGTCAGTAATGAGATAAATATGAGCCTGGAGCGACACCGAAAGCCTTCATGAGTAGTGTTCATGCACATCAAAATTATCCCCCAGAGTAAGACTTGAGCAAGGTTGTAGTCTGTTGATTTTCACTAATAATTGTAATAATAATAATAATAATAATAATAATATTAATAATGTATTAAAAAATGCGAAGATGTCATCAGTATTTGTTTCGAAAAAAGCGATGGGTTAATTGGTCTTGGTCATAAGTAGTCATCCGCTTCTCGTGGGGAAAC